CCGTTGAAGTGCGGCTGTCAAGCGTCAGATCCCAAGTTAGTCAGGTGCGCCGCCCTTGGATACGGACCTCCTCAGTGTCAGGTATGGTACGTTTGGTCAGTTCGACGTCCTGGAGGCGAAGTGCTGGAGTGGCGAGCGAGGTGGTCTTGAGTTCGGATAGGGGAGTGTCCCGAACTGCCATGAGGCGGGCCAGTTCGGGTCATTGCCTTGTGTGGCTTGGGGTCGAAGATAGTATTCGGGCTCCTCGTAGGGAGTTTCGGGCTCCTAGTAGGGAGTTCGGGCTCCTCGTAGGGAGAGTTCGGGCTTCTCATAGGGAGTTTCGGGCTTCTAGTAGGGAGTTCAGGCTCCTCGTAGGGAGTTCGGGCTCTTAGTAGGGAGATCGGGCTCCTCGTAGGGAGTTCAGGCTCCTAGTAGGGAGTTCGGACTGTTGGTTTCCTCCCTTTGGTGCTTGCACCCTGGGTGCATTGTTGTGTCGAGCTGTTTGCCTTTGCTACATGTTGAGTGATTACGAAGTCGAGCCAAATAACCATTTACCAACTGCTCTTACCAACCATTCGATAACGGGAAACTAGCAAAGCCATTGGAATCACCACATGCATCCATCAAAACTTGCTCCCAACTAAATCATTAACTTTGATACCACTTGTTGAGGGAATTAGGGAGAATTGTTGCCAAACAAAGAGGCACGATCTTAGGACTTACACATAAGAATAAGAATTGGACCCACCTCTAGCCCAAAATCTTAAACCATTGGGTTGTGAAAAAATCTTTATATACAAGTCATTTGTCTCTTTATCCCTTTCCAATGTAAGACACATCCACACACACGTTCATCCCAATAGAAAGAAATTTCTTTCTAACAACTCAATATTGCCATGCTAAGTGGATGGATCTTGACCTCCCAAAATTGAAAGAAATTCCTTTCAGAGAATTAATTGTGATGAATTTTGTTACTCTAAGACTCATATAAGTTTAGATGTATGAGAATTGTTGAGATCAATTCCTTTATGCGTTTTGAAAATTCATTTTAAAAGTTAGGGTCTGTTTGATTTGCAAGAATAGGGGTCTGGAGTCGGAATCGGAATAGCCCATTCCGATTCCAACTGTTTGGTTGGGTGGAATTGGAATCCTATTCCCATTCTTGCTGGAATTGCATTCCCTCATTTGAGAGAATGACCATTCTCTGCCTCTCTCTTGGGAACGAAATCTCATTCCTACTGATTTTAATTAGAATTCCAATTCCTATCTGAACCAAACAGACTATGGGAATGGACCATTCCAATTCTGATTCCGGAGGATTTCGATTCCGATTCCAACTATAAACCAAACGGACCCTTAGTTTCTTTGGAGTTCAAAAAAATATAACAACTTTTTGCTCAGAACTCATTTTTCAAATAGCAATTAATTCTTTCGAATAGAACTTTTATCAAATATATAAGACACCCAAAATTATTAAAATAAATTAAAATTTATATTCTAACCCGCACACTAACTGCTGCCCTATATGCTCAGTTTGGAAGGAATACAAATACAAATATGTAGTGTGTAAATTCTTATATTTTGTATGTATTTGTACTGTACATATTTGTATTTATACTCTTTCCAAACTGAGCCATACAAAAAAAAGGAAAGAGAAAAAGAAATGGCTTCTTCATGCCTGATTGTTGAGGCCATACTTCCCGTAACTAAAATACATTGATGTAAATAAAGCAATGGCCCAAGAGTAAATCACAGAACTCAGAACTGTCACCTTAATTAGGCAGAAAAGTTGTCAACAGGAGGAGAGAATTGAGATAGCAAACTTCCTTTCCATCACGGTTGAGGAATGCTGGGTGACAATAGCAGCAGTTCCAGAAGCCAAAGAGCTGGGCTTCAGAAGAGGTGGGATTGAAGTGGATTTGCTTTCAGCCACATCATGAGGGAAGGCCAAGTCAGCCCTTGCTTATGTATGATGCATGCTCATACCAGAAAAGGGAAAGAAGAAAAAGTCTCAACTTTGGATGTGAATAAATCGCTAAACAATTATACAAATCTTATTCGTGACCGAGTTGTGTTGCAGTTTCAGAGGTCATGTTCAGTACTTCAGTATTGGAGTTAGTAGTGAACAAATCTTTAGCCTAAATGTACTTATGCCAACAGTATTGGAGTTAGTAGTTGGCATGTATGATGCATGCCAACCGTAGATAGTGTTAAAATGTTCATTATTTGTTCTTGTCTTCCAATAAGATATGGGTAAAGAATAAAGATATCACTATTTCCCATTTTCTATCTTTTCTCTTTTATCCTTTTCCTTTTGCCCAAACTTTGTGTAAAGCTGCGATCTTATAAAAATTCTGCTACAATTCTAATTTTCTGATATTAACCAAGATATTATAGAAATGGCAAATAGAACTCAAGGGAGATTTAGTATTTTCTTAAGTACTTAAAATCTAAGATACATCATCTATGCCCTACATACAAAAAGTAATTCTAACTTTCAGTGTGATAAAATTCGTTTCCACCAGTAGAGAAATTTTGCTCATCTTAGGAAGCTTTGGGTTGCATTTAGATTTTGGAATCCGCAACAGAATCAAATTGTACTTCTACATGCCCTTAAATCAGCTGATTCGAGATAGCTCCTTCCATGTAGATTTTGCAAGTTTCTGGATTTATTGGGTTTGCAATAATGCACCAACTTCTCCTTTAAAAATCATTTGATAAGGGAGCCCATAATCACCAACTACTACCATTTTTCACAGGTAGCACATGAAGGAAATAGAAATGGAGGTTGCTTGTAAACAAATAATACAATTGTATGGCACTCAAGGAGGCATATGAATTCAAGTTGAGTTAGGACTGAAGATAAAACAACTGAAGAAGAAGAAAATTTCATGGTATTGGAATTCACTAAACCATCAAATAGCCCAGAAATAGCCAAAATCAGGTCCCTTAATAAATTAACTATACAAATGATGTAACCAATTATAGCATCCAAGATATCATCTACAAGATAAAATTTGAAAGGAGATTGGAACTGTAGTAAGATTAACTATGGCTCTTGAAGAAACCCTTTCTCCTCCAGGTAAGATATAACCTGCCCTGCCATGGCCGATGGAGTGGGGCAAATTCCATCATTTTGCTGTATTTCCATCTGGGAAGAGAAACCATCAGATTGATCAGTTCAGAACATGGTAAGAACAGCGGAAACAGAAGACCCAGCCAAGTCAAAACACACCTACCCCCACCCCCACCAGAGAATAAAAAAAAGCACATACACAAGAACATGCATGCACACACATGGAATCAACTGACAAATAACAATAGCAACCTCATATGCATGAATGAGTTCAAACTTCAGGCCATCAAAACCATATATGATTTAAGTGAAGATCTAAACGAATTCCATGTTGGTTTCACATGCATATTGAAGTGTTGCTTCAATAGGGGGGTAGCGTGACCCAGAAGGACAAAACACCAAACATTTTCATATTTCTAAAATATATGTGCTTTCAAACCCTTTACAAGCATGTGCCCGATTTTAGCTTACCTACATAATTTATTTATTATTATTATTGGTATCACCTGAGGAATTGTATGGTAGGTAAAACATAGACTTATTAATAGATTTATTAGATACAAGTTTGAGACTTCATAAGGATGCAAATAACTGTGGACAAAGTACTAGCAGATACCTCATAAGCTATATTAATCCTCTGCATTAAACATTCATCATAAAAGATTTATCCTATTTTTACTTTAGACACAAGTGTGAACTTTTAAGTTATAACTTATAAGAAAGACAGATGAAGTGTTTTTTCTCACTAAAATTCTTTCTTATTATGAGGAAATTTCAATCGTTGTGAATGTGATACAGGATGGAGGCATGTGAAATTTCAATTATTGCAGCCATCTGTATGGCACTTATTTAACAAACTGCAGTATGGCCTCAAATGAAACTTGTCCAACAGGCAACCAAAAATATCAAATCACCTACCTGAGACCATAGCATCTGAATAAATAAATATTATCAATAAATGGGCGTGTCACAGTTTATACAATGGGATCTATTATAATGAAGTGATAAGATATTCCAGCAGGATTGCAGGTCAGGTCATATATTCTGACAAGACATGCATCTGGCATGTGCAGGTGGGAACATGCAGATACATATGACCAAAAGGCATGGGAATCCCATGTAGAATGCACAGTTTAACAAAGACATACCTCACAGTTCAATGGTGGTTCATATGGATCATCTATTCCAGTAAAACCTGCAAATTCAATGTGATAGTTAGCAGAGCTCCAAGTTTTAGTTTAACATATGATATAATAATATGCATTCTTAAGACATTCCAATCTACCACCTGACCAGCCATTAATAAGTGAAGCTTTACCAATCAACTCCCTCCACCCATTAAAAGTTTGAATTATTCATCCCTTTCATCTTATTTTAGAAGACATCTTAACTGGCGATTTCAAGATTATCGGTATCATACTATCATTCAATGTGACAAATTGCATAGCATAAAATAATGAACTAGGTAATAGCACTATGCTCACAAGTTCTGGTTATAACTGGCGGCTTGCAGTCAGCAATATGCTACTATCATATGTTAAGAACTCTAGAAGGGCAAATTTGATTTTCAGAACCAAGGTATTCTTTAGGCTTGATTTGCAGAATCTAGGGCCCTGTTTGGAAACATTTCTATCGTTCCCGGTGTTCTTCGGAGCAGGAATGTGTTTGGTACCAAAAAAAAAAAAATGAAAGAAACAAGCTATTCTCACGTGAGAACATCACCCAAAGAATGCGTACTTTGGGAGTGATAAATTGACACTCTCAAAGATCGTGTTCCTAGAGAACACGCAGTTCTCACAATGTTAATGCATATTAACGAACACGTGCCATCGATTCCCATGTGAGAGAAGGGGTATGTTTGGTATTTCACACAAAATGATAGAAACAAGCCCTAAACAACCACCTTTCATTCATTTGACACTACCTCATTGCTGCTGCACATCTCAGAGGAGGGAACTCCCTTGGCTCCTGCTGCGCCAACAACAGGACGGCGAGCGAACAGTACGAAGCTCCAGCGACATTTCCGGCCAGATTCACGTAAACAGGTAGGTGTATTCCTTCTCATTGTACCTGATTTACTCGTCATTGCTCTGTTTTACTCGTCGTTGCTCTGGCTAGATTCACCCAAACTAATCTCTGACAACAATCATCTCTAAGTCTAACAGATGCTGAGTTTCCATCATCTGAATTTGTTTGTTCATATTATTTTTTTACTTTGTTGGATATCTTGAAATGTGGGGTTTCTATTATGTCGATTGAATGGGGTTTCTTTTCATCTGAATTTGTTATCCAAACGCCATTCTATTTCTGTAGAACAAAAATGTGTTCTCGAAAAACATTTTGCCAAACGCCTCTGTTACTCCCAAGGAGCAAGAAATAAAATTCTTGTTCTAGCACAGGAATTTCTAAAAGAACAGGAACAGGTGGGAACATTGCCAAACAGGGCTTAGGAGTCCCACTGTTATTGCAGTAAGCCAGTTCCCCATAACACCACAAATTTTTAAATTGGAAAATGGCATGCTTTGCTCTTATTTGGAGGGTAAAAATTAGTAAAACAGAAGAGAGGAAAGATAGAGAAGAAAGGAACAAAAGAAATAGAAAGTACTTCCTTTAGAAAAACTGATTTTGTATTCCTGTTGACTGGACCATACTAGACTTGAGGCTCCCTCCAAGTCTGGCTTTAAGAATGATATGAAGGCCTTTTTCATCAGAGGTCTGCAAGCACTTGGCCAGAGTCTAACCTTGCTACAGAAGATATTTGATCAGAATCATGACTAACAACATGGCAACAAACATCCCAGAATTTCTGTTCTTATAATGCCTCCCACTGCATGTTTGCTAATGCATATGTACAAGCCCTAATTTTGGAAACAAAAACTTGTCCAAAACTAGATTAAGAAATTTTTCTAGGAGCTTGTGATTGAACCAGATTCTCTAGTTTACTGCATAGTTGGAGAATGTTCCATAGATTGAGATGATGATGCTGGTTTCTGGAGAGAATGTCTTATATGCTCACCAGTTGACGCTCACATCAAATTTTAGCATAGAAAAATCAGAACATATCAAAGTTCACACTCTACCATCTGATGAAGGCCATGTCAAGTGTAGCTTGATGAGTTGATGAAGTCACTATTCAAAGTTACTCACTTCAAATGAGTTGTCTAAATTAGGAAGAACTATGTTGACATGGAAACAGGGAAAGAATACATGGAGAATAAACTAAATTTCTCCTGATTCTTTAACAAGTAACACTTTTGTAATTCTTAGTTGCTGCTATTTTTGGTCCATTTATGTTTTTGAAGGTTGTTCTGTTTTTAGTTTTTGGAAGTTTAAAATTGTAGGTCTGTTACTTTTCCTGCAGCCGAGTTTCAGCAGCCAAAAATTGCCTGTTTGACTTGATTTTGGTGTCATTAGGTAGATTTTTCAATTACATATCCAACAAAACCAAGATCTTGTGAATCTGGTATGAATCAAAAGTTAAGGTTATTTTATCAGTTGAGTATCAGCCTTTGAACTGTGATCAGAACTAAATACTTATATTCTGAAGTTGTTTTTGATTTATTTTAGTAGGATTATTAATGAGTATTTAGAGTTACTAGTGAGTATGCACGTGATTTGCATGTGGCAAATTTAGATGATGATGATGATAGTTTTCCAAAATTTTCTACAATTTTTTTTTATATTTTTTTCTATTAAAATAACTCTTATTTGTCACACTTATTTTTGTTTAATATGATGAATATACAATATTGTAGATGTGCCTAAATGTTTTCCACAACTTTTTTTGTATTTTTTATACTTTTGTGTGTTTTCATCTTTTTAATTTTTATTATTATTTAATTATGACATCAAGGGTTGACACATTTGACCTAAAAAGGTTGAATTGTTGACTCGCCACCAAACAGGAAAACAACTCTATTTTTTGGATCGATTTTAAATTTGCATTTTATTTCTATCATCAATAAAAATAATTATTCTTTATCACACTTATTTTCTTTAATATGATTAATTAATATAGGATTCAATGAAAGTTAATACCAAGACTTTATGAAAGGGAATTGAATGAGGAGAAACGTAGTAGTTCAAATTACATTTTGTGCCCTCACAATTAGAGAGGGACCAAATTCAGAAATAAGGGTATTTTAGTCAAAAATAGGATTCAATGAATGTTAATGGAAGTTAATACCTTAAAATAATACTTAATGAGAGGGATTTGAATGAGGAGAAAAGTGGTTCTTCAAATTACATTTTTGTCCTTACAATTAGAGAGGGACCAAATTCAAAAATTGGGGTGTCTTTGTCAAACAAAAGTTCCACACTCTCATTCAGACATTCACACTTTTAATAGTAGTATAGATTTTAAGAGTCAATATCCGTGTTTTAGTGTTCCTATGGGGTTATTTATAGGTTTTTCCTAGTTCTAAAGAAATTAGAGGTTGTTTCTGGTCAACTAACTTGCTGAAATTGGAGTTTGTAATGGGTTGCATTTTTATTATTAAGTTTGTAAAGGGTGATTCAGCTACCCTATAAAAAACATGTCATTGTAATTGAATTTCTAGTAGAAATTTTTGAATAATGAATAAGAACTTCAGTTTGAATGTTATGAGGAGCATCCTCTCTTTTTTCTCCAAAGGCAGAAAGACGCTATTTTTCTTGTCTTCTCTTTCTCTCTTACATACTAGAGAACACCTGACCTGACCTGTATTTCCTCTAAAATCTACATCTAGTTTGCATTCTTCTTGCAAAAATTCCTAAGCATTCTAACCCAAATCATGAGTTACCATGTCAGTAAACAAAACATGCATCTAAAGATATAGAGAGCAAACCTTTAATCTTTCCTTCACGTGCAAGCTTGTAAAGGCCTTTTGCATCCCTTTGTTCACAAACTTCTAGAGGCATATTCAAGAAGACCTGTAAAATTGGTAAACCCATTTAACAACATCAAATGCTGTTAGATAAGGATAAGTTTACAACAAGAATATCTCATAGGATCCTTGCCTCAATAAAACTTTCATCTGGCAATAGAGCACGGCAAGCATCTCGATCTCTTCTATATGGAGATATCAAACAAGCAATACAAATTAAACCAGCTTCTGCAAAAAGTTTTGCTACTTCCCCTGAAACCAAATGAGAAGTTAACATAGGAATAAAAGAAGAAATCAGATATGTTACAAGAACGCTACAAATTTATTGATTGGAGGAAGGATAGTAAAAATGGACAGTAGGGCACACCAATATTCATACAATGACAAAAAATAATAATCTTTTCTAAGTTCATGTACAAGGTGCATATGACATATGAAAGGGCTTTGCAACCACCATTTAATGGATCATATAGAGGTCGCTCAAGCAACAAAACTAACCTGATCCAAAAGTTTTAACCAATAGAAAATAAGGAAACATTATTAATAAGAAATGATATTAAAGTGATGTTTTCACCAAAATAATGGTATATGAAGATTCTAAGTTTAGTGGGTGATTACAGTAACCACTAAGCTGGTCTTCAGACCATTTGGCTAGTGATTACAGTAACCACTATGGAGCAGAATGTTCAGTCAAGAAACAACAGGTCCAAAAATGAGTGTGATAGAAATGCATATGCTGAGATGGATGATTGGAAACCTAGAAGTAGCTCCAATAGGTGATAAAATGAGAAAAAGTCGACTAAAATGGTTTGGTCACATGCATAGAAGGCCATCTACAGCACCCATAAGAGGAAGAAATCTGTTGCAAGTTGATAGGGCTAGAAGGCTAAGGGGCAAACTGAAAAGGACATGGGTTGAAGTGGTAAGAAATGATTTAAGCTAAGCACCCATAATTTAATGATGGATATGGCACTAATCAGAGTTTACAAGACAAACCACAGGCCTGAACCCTAACCCAAGCCCGATGTAACTGACACTCGGGCAACCTGACTTGCAGCCCTAGCTAGTTTCATATGTACTTTTGAATTTAATGTTCAAAAATCACTCTTTACAAAGGCAAACTTACCAACCCTACGTATATTTTCTGCACGATCTTCTGGTTTAAAACCAAGATCCTTGTTCAGACCATGCCTAAGATTATCTCCATCAAGGATGTAGGCGAGATTTCCTCTATTGTGCAATTCTCTTCCTACCGAGCATGCCAATGTGCTTTTCCCTGATCAGTTTGAACAAATATTTCAAGACATATGAGTTAACAACATGAAATGTAGCATGATTAGTGATAGTGAAATATATATTACCATTTTACTAGGAGTCTTAAATCACATATCTGAAGTTTGTTCATATTCTAATGTTACACATCATCCGGCAGTTTATACATACAGAAAATCAAAACTAAATGCATTAGGTCACGAGACCTTCTGTATCTTTTATGCTTTGATAGTCTCATTCAGTGGTCTTTCTTCTGTCCATCTTAATTTCATTTCTGCAATCTAAATTCCCATCTTGTTTTCTTCATTTTATTTTATTTTTTCAAATATCTAAATGATCTGTACATGAAAAACATATATTTCCAAGCCATGACCATACTGGATTAAGCTTTAAGGCATCTAGATGAAACAGATCAAGTTACCATGAACATTTCAGATTCTTTGGCATTATGCATATGGACAGTTGGTAAGCATATATATGACAGTTTAGGTATCTGAGTACCCTAGGTATATCAGTAATATTGCCTTCCTATTTTGACATGTTCTTGGTGCAGATATAGAAAGGCCATGACCCCTATTTTGAACATTGAGAAGCAAATACATCTTGCATCTTTTGTATGAATTCCAAGATCTGCCAAAACTCTTGCTGATTCCTTAACTCGTGAAGTAGCTAATAGACAAGCAATGGCATGGGGAGAATATCCACTGTAGTGGGGGGAAAATTTGTATATGGATTTCAGCTCCTTGTGGTGTTACAGGAACAGCAATGGACTGTTTTTATTGTAAATAATTTGAGACTCATCTGCTTGTAATGGGATCTGGGTTATAATGAAATACAAGAAAGGACAGAAAGTGAGTTTGGAGCCGATTAACTTCAAGTTCAAGGGAGGTTTTCATAGTGAAACTCTGGTGGCAAAAAGCAGCATAGAAATTACTTTTGAATGGTGGGAAAGGAATGTTTGAGTGAAGCTTCAAAGGAGAGTGTGCAACAGGAGTCAGACACAATTGTTTTGATTGAGAGTTCGAGGTCAGATATTGCTCCAGTTGGTTCTTTGAGCCATCACCAGAAGTCCAACACCTCGTCCTTTGGACATAGCTTGGTTCATTCCTAGTTGCAGTTAGCATGTGTCTGGAGCAATGTTGTTAAAATCTTATGATTTACAATTTGAATCATGAATCCCAAGGGTTTCGATTTGAATCTTATGTATAAATCCTTTTCTGCAAAAATCTGATAATTTTTGTTTGAATCTTATGATTCGATTAATAAATCTTACAATTTATATAATTTCTACAATTCATTGTGATTCAAATCAATTCAATTAAGAATTAGTTCTCTACATTGTCATTCTGTTTTGATTATATTTAGTTTTTCAAGGGTGACTTGTTTTAAAGACTTTACTAGGAATTGATTTAACTACATTATTCAAGTCCATATGTTGAGTTTATTTTCTATCATATGTTGAATAAAGAGCCATTTTATGTGGAATATTTGACTTTCAAGTTAAACTTGATTATACCATCTTAGAATTCTATTGTATGAGTGGTAAATTTTAGTGTTTTAGGTACATATATGGTACATATGACTTAAAAATAGGGTAGAACACTTTTCTATATATATATTTAGCCTCTTAGCATATATATTTAATTTTTTTGACAAATTTGTAAAAAATAGAAATAATATTATGATTTACGATATGATTCAATTCAATTTTCACTACAATTACGATTTTTAGAACATTGGTTTAGAGTGGAGGATCTCGTCATAAGTCAAGAGACCAACTGTGATGGTGTGGAAGAAATTGAGAATTGCCAAAGGAGCTAAGAGGATAATTTAGTAGAAGAAGTAATTGTTGGCAAGATTGGAGTTGATTTGAGAGGAGTTTGAGGGTGTGGTATCTATTGAAGAGTTGGCAATGGATGGGAAGAAGCCCAGAGCAGTGAACAAATCCCGTCTTGTGCATGTTGCCAAGGTCTTCTCATGTTTAAAAGAGGGGATTGTTGGGGATAGTTCAAGCAATAAATATAAGAGAGTGTTTAAGAGGAAAGGGGTTAGTTTGCGAATCACGATCCATAAGGTTTCTAAAGGAGTTTGGTTCAATGACCAAAATGGTTCTAAGGGTATTCCTACTAAAGGAGAGTTGATGAGAAGTGATGTGTTTGAGGAAAAGGAGGAGGGTGACTGTAAAGAATTGGGGAGAGACAATAAACTAATTACAGAGGCTGAGGAAAGTAAGGGTGAAAGCGGGGATCTAAGTAACCTAGTTGAGAGGGATGTGGAGGTTGGAAAGGCTTTGGGTCTTTTTTTTCTCGAGCAATGAGGTTTTCGCCAAAAGGGCGTTCGAAGAATTTGAGAAAAGGGAGAAGAAAAAGAGGAGAGGCTAAAGAATTCCACAAAAGGGGTAGGGGGAGAGGCATGGGATGAGGGTGAACGACAAGAAGGTGATTTAGTTGAGGAGGAATAACGTTGTTGCAGGGAGAATTTTGTGGAGTATGTTTTTGTTGGGGATCAGTTGTTGTTCCTAGTTGAAGCGTAGAGGTGTTATTAGCCATTGCTCATGTTTTTTTCCATTTTAGTTTATGTTGTAACTTGTAAGATTGTGGTGAGTTGGTTGTTAGTTTAGGGGGCCTTTCTTCTCTTAGGTGATATCTTATCATATTTCTTTTGTTTTCTCTTTTTCATTTAATGAAATTTTTATTTTTACTTATCAAGAAAAAGACTATGTTGTTTGTATATTAGTACTGTATATTTCAATATTATTAAAACATAACAGTTAATGATCAAAGGAAAAAAAACAAGCAAATACATCTTGCACCCAATTCCAGAAAACTGGAATTGAAGTGGGAAAAGCATATTGAACTTCTATATCAATCCTATGGTGCCAACTGGCTCGGCTGTTAAGGTCTCTGGCTGATTGTAATAGAGACTTGGGATCAACTCCTGCTGTAACTAGGTTGGGAGACTAGCTACCGCCCTGTTGTGTAGCCACATAAATCAAAGACACTCATTGTGATTTATTGTCAGTGATATGCCCACTTCTATCTCAGAATTTCTGAAGAAAAAGTTAATTGCTCCATGTCATGTAGCATCTCATTTCACTACCAACTCCAATCCAATCACATCATCAACTGGCCCCAGTTATGCGCACCCAACTCCAATCCAATCCAATCACATCTCTAGCATGCCTCCTCACATCAAAGCCCATTGGGCTTTAAGTGTGGACAAGCACAGCCCCACCAATACCTTCTGCTGAAATTTAATTAATTATAATGGGGGTCGCAAGGATCGAACACTAGACCACTTGGTCAAACAAGCACTGATACCATCTCAAGGAACCATTCAAACTAAAAGCTTAAGCTGTTAGGTGAGGTCCCCAAATGGGTTTTTATTCTCTAACAGCATGCTTGCATGGTGACCATGGACTCAACACTATACTCTTTTTAACCATGCTTCCATATGATTAACAAGCTCATGGATCAGGAAAGGAATATAGTATAGCATTTCAAAAATCAAACCCAACATAATTTGGCAGGTTAGCACTAGATCAGATATCCAGATCTAGTTGGATGCTTGGATACCCTTCCTCCTAGGAAGGGGCATTCCATGTCCCAGCTTTTTCATCCATCCAATGACAACAGTTGCCACTCTAATCACCTTGGATTGAATGTGAGATGTTTTGATGCCATCTCCAAAATATATATCCCTTCTCTTGGAGTGGACAAACTACATTGAAATTGAGCACTAAAGTTTTTGGAATGGCAAGGGAAATGAAACACACAGTTAAATTGTCTTTTATGAATCAGATGCTTTTAAACTAGTTTTCAAAAAAAAGATGCTTTTAAGCTCATCAAAATGCTATGAACTGTAAACAATACTTTCCATAGGCCATCAATCCATCTGCAATTCTGCATGAGGCATACAGAGAATTTAACCTCTTCTCCACTTTATTACATTCACAATCACAAACTACACTAACAACAACTAATATCTCACTGTCCACCTAGCACACCGACTCCCCCACCTTTATGTTGTCATAAAATCAACACTGATGCTTCTTCTTATAGCACACTTTCTACAGAAGTTATTGTTGTAAATCCCATGGATTTTGTGTTTTATCATCACAGCCACCTCAGCAGAAGTAAAAGGACTCATCATTGGATCATCACAACTCACAAGGGAAATGAAACTCCGTTTGATTATATTTGGAAACAGATGCTTTTAAGCTCATCCAAATGCTAGGAACTGGAAAAAAGCATTGGGATCAAAAGTCATCATCACTATTATTATACCGGTACCTTCTTGTTGTCATTAATAACTTAGTACTCCTCTTTTTCATGTAAATAAAATACTACCGTCCATAGGACTCCTACCTTGTATTTGCACACTCCAAGACAGAATAACAAGATAGCCCACCTTCTGGCTCCATAGAGTAAAAACATTAAGGAGTTCTAACATGTTTGCTGGCTGAAGTCATAAATTCTATATACAAATTTCAGTTTCTGGTTAGTAAAAAGAATTATTAAAAAAGAACATATGTTCCTTCTGTTTTTTCCCTGGTAGAACTAATAATCACTCATCTTCTTAGCAATTACTGGTGTGGAACTATTTTACATGTTATAGCTGTTTTTTCTTTGTAGTTTAACTACACCCTTTCTTTATTAAACAATCTATGACATGTATGAATCTTGTGTTGTCCTTGTGACCATCAACCATGTAATATCCATGTACTATTCTCAAGATCTTTCTAATGAGCAGTCTCAATCTGTCATGCAATTTAAAAAAAAAAAAAATCCTTGCACAATTAAAAATGGGCTTCAGAATATTCATCCAACAAAGGATTAAAGTCTTAACTTTGTTACCAAGTTACTACAAGTAGATACCACTTCAAATGGTTGCATCCATGAAAACTAGAACAAATTTCTGTTTCACAAGTTTAGTCCAGGGAACGGGAGAACCAGAAAAAAATAACACGCATAAGAGCTTATTCGTTGCTAACTTGTTGAATATCCAATTTCATTTATCCATCAGCACAAAAAATAACAAAAGCCAATAGCTTTTATCAGGTTCCTTTTACTTGAATACATCTGATGAGACAGTTTAGTCACCAAACCTGCTCCACTGAGACCTGTAATCCATACAACACATCCTTTTTGCTTCAGTAGTTTCTGCCTTTCTAGCTTTCCAACTGGACATTCATGCCAGAAAATATTTGCAGATTTGGCCAATGTAGACATCAGAAAGGTGATTCCCCTTTTTCCTATTCAAACACAGTTTGTTTAAAATTTGACAATAGCAAGTCCATAATATAAATGGATTAACTTTGGGAAACATGGCTTAAGCAACAATAGAAATGTGACAGTTGAAATCATCATCACTATCATATCAACCTAACAACCACATTGTGATAATGTTGCCAAAAAGACTCTAGAGGGAGTACCCTTCAGAATGCCCTCGAGATAATGGGTGTATCTGTTGATCTTGGGATTTGAGGGGCGGAGATGATCAGCAATTGACAAAAAAAAAAAAAAAAAAAGTGAGACTTGAGTAGTTTTAGCATGCAAATCGCATTCCCCAGATAAGCAATGACCCTCCATATCCGGATTGCGGAAAATCCGTGTTAGAATGTTGTTTTTACGGATGGGGGTTCTATTGCTTCCCCATGCTTCTGCCATGTAAAGTGGTAATGGATATTGAATTCATCTCAAAGGATAACATTGAAGCAACAGCAACCCGTTTGGAGAAACATGCCATTTTCTGATTTTTGTGTTATAAAGCAATTAACCAAAAGTATCCGATCATATTAAAAAAAAAAATCTAGCATCTCTTGGGGTTAGAGAACAATCTACAATTATCGTGATCCCAAGGACCTATTGATTGAGTATAGGAATTTTGTAGGCGTGAATGATCAAGAATGCAATTGTTAACACAGAAATTACGGGATGTTTCTGTTGTGTTTTGGTTCTAAAGAACCAATGTTAACATCTCCACATTGGCCAATCACCAGACAAGCCAAAACTAATATGAAACTCGACTAACCAGATTTTAGAGTAGAACTAATCTGAACTCAAGAACCAGATTGTGAAGATTGTGAAGTGAAGAGTTAAAAAGAAAAAGAAAAACAGAAAAAATACCTGGAGTGAATGTAAAATGTTTTCCTCCTAGTTCCAATCCAGGTGTTCTTCGTTAGACCAGAAAGAAGAAACCATTTAAAGGATTCAAGCCCGGAAAAGTCGAGCGGACCAGACCATATATTGTTCAGGCGTAATGCGTCAGGAGGAGAAAGAATGCAACATAACTCTGGTTCGTTGTGGTTTTGAATGTGGACGCATTTTATTGGCTTTAAGGGAGGCACGCCACACGCACCATTCTTTCTTCACGTGCAGGCGCAGATTCAAGGTTGGGGTGAACGAATTCATTCATGTCTTCATGAATGATGGGTATTGGGTAGAAAGCATAATCACTTTCTCTACCGTTAAATACTTAAAACGGTATTTCTCTCCCGGAAACGGGAAAAAGACAGAAAACCCCCTTGTATCAGCTGGGCTCATTGTATCAAGTTCTTAATAACGTTTTCAGAATAAAAAATGTTCGAATATAATATAAACTTTAAGATAGAAAAATAAGAGATAAACAGACGGTTAAGAGTTAAGTCATAAAAATTGGTTAAGAAGTTAGAGCTTCCCTCAAATTTGTATTTTATTTTATTTTTGTATTTGTGATATTTTCAGTAGTTTGGTTTAATAATTCATAACAAGGAAATTGAGGAGAACAGGTTTGGCAAGGTATCATGGGACAAAATTACAAGGCCAAAAGAGAGTGAAGGCCTTAGGATCCGGAAATTAAAAGAGATGAACTTAGCCCTTTTTGCAAAGCAACTTTGGAGGCTCTTTGGGGAGGGATCCTCATTGTGGGCCTGGGTCATTCAAGCAAAATACTACAATCAAAAAAAGCATAAGCATGTGGCAGTCTAAGACCCAAGATTTAAAACATCTTTGAAAAATAGATGTGGGATATGTATTAAAATCAGATGTTTCATCTTTTTTCATGCGTATTGGACCCATATTAGGGCGTATTGGTAGCATATTGACGAAAAAGATGCAGCCAAAAGCTAAAAAAAAAATAAAAAGGAAAATCAAACTTCTTTTCCCCAAAATAAGCCTTCTTTCACCCCCCAAATGACTCTAAAACTTCAAGCTTCATTCATATAGTGTTAGATTTGCATAAATTTGTAAGAAACAAGTGTAAATCGTTAATTTTTTTTAAAGATTTTTCAAATTTTGAAAAAAAATATGGCAAACTTAGGTAAAATGTTTCAATTTTTTATAATATCTTGTGATTTCTTTTTTTTTCTTAAATGTTTAAATTTATGTTTATCTACATTCTTACATTCAAAATCACAACTTTTTTTTTTGTTTTATCAGTAGATTTATGAAAATTTCATGAAGATATTTGGGAAAAATATAATTTAATAAAAATTTTGAAAATGTAATTTTTTCTCTGCCTATAAAGAATAAATATGTTTTAGATCTATAGATTTATCTATCATATCCATAGAGCAATTGAAATTTCCTCTTTAATATTTTTTTGATTTTTTATATTTTTAGAATTAAAAAATAAATAATAATTAATTATAATTTATCATTTGATCATAACAACTGAATATATTATAATACTATAGATGATCTATTATATCCACAGACCAATTGAAATTTCTTCTTTAATAATTATATTTTTTATTTTTATATTTTTAGAATTAAAAAATAATAATTAATTAATTATATTTTATTATTTTATCACAATGATTGAATATATTATAATTCTATGGATGATCTATCATATCCACAAAACAATTGAAATTTATTCTTTAATAACTATTTTTGAATATATTATATAATGTTTATTTATTTTTTATAATTTTTTGAAATTAATAAAAAATAATAATTATTTAAATAATAAATAATTATTACTTATATTTTCACATAGAAGTTGTGACACTGCATGCTTTATGGTTGGATAGGAGAGTTGGGTTTTTCCCATCCCATAAAACATTAAAACTTAAGAATTATAATTTATAAATTATAGTTGAGCATGGGATTTTTAATGAAATTATAATTAGCTACAATATACTTCTTCGTAAAACCATTAAAATATATTAAGTTAATATATACTAATGGGGACCCATGTGATGCATGGGATTTATTAAGCGAAAGTTAAATAATAAAAAGGGTCACTTACTAAAATACCTCTTATAGTTTCATGGATTTACTAAAATCTACCCTATAGTTAGCATTTTACTAAAACACCACTTATAATTTGCAATGGATTTAATCAATCTTCCATTAGATAATAGTGGAAAATGACAGTGTTGACCCTAATGTTCATTTAAATAAATTTAATCAAAAGAAAATAAAAATAAAAATACTATTTTTGCCCTTAATAAGACACGGGCAACCACTCTATTGGCTATATTCGGTCAATTTTGTTTTCTATACAAAAAAGTGTTAAGGGTATTTTTGGAATAAAAAATCAGGGGTCTAATGGCAAAACAAGCACTCTTTAATGAAAGGTTGATTAAGTAAATAAGTTGTAAAATATATGGGATGTTTTAGTAAAATGAAAACTATAAGGTAGGTTTAAGTAAATATGTAGAACTATAAGGTGTGTAGGAATGGCAACGGGGTGGGGATCATATTCCCCGTCCCCGACCCCGATTCTGAAATTAACCCCCATCCCCGATCCCCGACGAGGATGGGTTCCTCGTGGGGACCCGAATCCCCAAAATGTTTTCAAATAATAGTATTTATTTAAAATAAATAAAAAATTTAAATTATAAATAATGTTTAAATATGTTTTGATATATACATATATAATAGTATATTTAATATAAATAACATTTAATATATATATATAATTGGGGTCGGGACGGGGCGGGGACCTCAATCCCCATCCCTGACCCCGACTGGGGATTCCTATTAATCCTCGTCCCTGTCCCCGCCCCGCCAAAACAATCCCCATCCCGGCCCCATTGAGTCAAGGAAGTCGGGTCCCCGCTGGGGATGGGGAAATTATCATCCCTAAAGGTGTGTTCTAGTAAATGACCCTAATAGAAACACATAAGAGTATACAATTGTTTTATATTTAAAATTTTTAAGGTGGTTACCTCCAAGAATCTCGAACCACTTAGACGACCTCGTAGAAATCTCGGATATGGTGCGTGAAGCCCACGCCAAACAATGCCTATATAAAGGCACCAACCCCAATGGCAAGGGGGCGACCTCGCCAGGTTAGCAACCTCGGGTCCTCTGACATTTGGTTCCTCGCAGGTCTCTAGAAGTTCAACGATAAATCCAGCTCGCCACCAGCCAGCTCGGACCTTTGGGCAGCTCGGCACCTTGGTAGCTCGGCACCTCACAGGCAGCTCGACATCTAGGCAGATCCACTTCAGCCTCTGAGTCATCGGCCACTTGGAAGCAGACCAAATGACGAGGTACTTAGCCCAAAAAATTGATACATCAATAAAAATTGATTCATCAGAAGTTATTACTCTATTGCCAATTTCTAATTACCAGTCTTTTCCTATAAAGCATTACATCAATAGTTCTAATAAATACGTATAACAAAGAAACATGAGAGTCAAAGGTTCATTAAAATTGAAATGAAAAGGAACCCTATGAGTTCTAATGTCAAAGTCATATAGCATAGACATCTTGCATATAGACCATAATAAGTAAGATACTAGCGGAGGGGCCTGCTTCATAGGGTCTAGAATGGAACTATTGACCTGTTGATTCATTCATTTAGTCACTAGCCCAAAATTGTTGAATTAGTCAATGACCATTGACCTAAGCAGTCGATTTGTTGATCCATTCAATGTTTTTTGGGCATTTATTTATTTATTTTTAATTGGGAACCATCCAGGCAACCGGTTCCATTTTATCCTAATCTCAGCCTCTGGCCAAAAATCGTTGAATTGGTCAATGACCCATTGACCTAGGCGGTCGAACCATTGATCCGTTCAATGGTTTTTGGTCATTTTTTATTTTTTATTTTTTATTTTTAATTTTTGTTATCAGAACAGGCCATCCGTTCAAATCGAATAGTCAAACCGTTGACCCGAAAATCAGTGGCCATAACAGTTATATTTTCAGGTCGTATGAGTCACACGCTCAAATGACATAATATGTATGGTACTGCTTAATTGACCTCACACACTCAATTTTTTGTCTGTAATTTTATTTTTTGTTAGAACAGGTCGTCCATTTTTTTTTAATTTTTTTAATTGGGAACCATCTAGGTAACCAATTCCGTTGACCCGTTCAATGGTTTTTTGCCATTTTTTATTTTTTATTTTTGTTGTTAGAATGGGCCATCAATTCAAACCGGACGGTCGAACCGTCAACCCAAAAACCGGTGGCCTAAACGGTTCCATTTTTGGGTCGTATGAGTCACACGCTCAAATGACATAGCACGTATGATGTTGCTTAATAAACCTCACACACTCAATTTTTTGCCTATAATTTTTGTTGTCAAAATGGGTCATTCGTTCGAACTGGACGATCGAACCGTCGACCAAAAAATCGATGGCTAGAATGGTTCCATAATTTTTTGCTTGTAATTTTTTGTTGTTAGAACGGGTCATCCATTTGAATCGTTGACCTAAAAACCGGTGGCCAGAACGGTTTCGTTTTCGAGTCGTATGAGTAACACGCTCAAATGACATAGCACATATGATACTACTTAATGGACTTCAAACTCAATTTTTTGCCTATAATTTTTGTTGTCAGAATGAACCGTCGACCCAAAAACTGGTGGCCAAAGCGGTTCCATAATTTTTTGCTTGTAATTTTTGTTGTCAGAACAAGCCATCCATTCATTCGAACCGTCGGTTGTCAGAATGTTATTAACAACATTTATCAATAATAGTAAGTAATTATACTATTTAATTAAATAATCATTAATGATAGTTTCAATAATATTATTTAGTTATTTTTAATATAACAGTAAATATTAAATTTATGAATAGGATTTATTAA